GGCTGTGTTCCCTCTGCACTGATCTGGCACCGTGCCAGCCTAAGGCTGCCTAGCTCCTACTAGCTCTGAATCTTCCTGCGGTTGGTCCTTGCGTGTCCCTGACTGTCTTCTTAGCTCTTACCCTGGTAGAGCAAGCCGGAACGCATGTACTAGCATGAAAGTGGCTGTGTGCTGCAGCGTGGGGGTGGGAGAGCTTGGCAGCAGCTTGGGAAGCACAGCTGTGGGAAGCACAGTTCAGGAGGGAACTCTGCAGCAGGGTGGTCTTGCCAGCAAGAAGGGAGCTCTGTGTATGCCCGTGCTCAGTTGTGTGTGCATTATTACACATAGTGTACATGGAGGTGTTGAGGTTAGACGCACCGGAGTACCTTGTGCACTCTAGAAATCTTAGAAAGAGGTACGAGAAGGTGGGGAGTGAGCTGAAAATTCGTTCAGAAGCCAAGTGAGCCAAGTCAGCACTAGTTTTTCAGTTTCCAGAGTAATCATAGCGGGCACCCAGGCGTGGGGCACTCACTGATGAGAGTGATTAGAGTGCCAGCCTTATCCTCACACGCTTAGGCTGCGAGGATGCCCCTAGTGTCACCTCAGCCCCTCGCGTAGCCGGCTGAAGCCGGTGCAGCTGACAGGCTCTGCAGAGCTGCAAGGGTGCTGACCTTTCTCGCAGACACAGACCCAGCGCCGAGCCAAGCAGCCACCCAGCCCTCCAGTGAGGCAGGACTGGCTGGAACTCGGGTACCTCCCAATTTGGGGGATTGTTTTGTGTGTGCTGGTCCTAGGGCTTGAACTTGGGACCTGGGCCTGGTCCCTGAACGTTCATAAAAAGCTCAAGGCTAGCGCCCTGCCACTTCAGCCACAGCTTCACTCCCAGCTTTTGGTGATTAACTGGAGATAAAAATCTCATGGACTTTCCTTCCTGGCTGGCTTTGAACTGCCATCCTCAGATCTAGCCTCCTAAGTTACTAGGATTACAGGCACTGGGCTAAAAGAATTTTTTTTGGAATCTGTTGTAGAAGACAAGGTCATGAGTGCTTTTTACTACTACAATATGCGTAAACATTGCCACTGCAGAACGGGTTGCATGCATGCCTGTGTTCGTTTGCCAGAGCCACTGTGAGAAGATACCATGCACTGAGGGACAGAAATGGATTGTCTCTCATTGTACTTCCTGTGGTTTAAAAGTTCTCTCCCTTTTTCCCTTGACTTGAGGGAAGGAGAGTATCTTTCTTTCTGGGGAGATTTCTGTGGGCAGACCTACAACTGGCTCATAACCCCTCTACTCTCCCCATTGGCTGGGAGTCACAAGGCCAGGGAACCTGGCTGCTGGGAAGCATGGGAGATGTAGTCTTAATGGGTATCTAGGTGCATGGAGAACGCCGGCCACTTCTGCATCAGGAATTTCAGTGCACCGTGAATATGGGAATGGAGGAAGACAGCCAGTGCCAAAGGCTATTTGGACTGAATCTGAATTTTTGAGCAATCACTGGTGTGAGGACTGTGCCAGGGCCTCAGTGGGCTGAAAGCTATGCGTTTTTTTTCTCCTTTCACCTTCTATTTTCTAGATGTGTCTTTGGGGGAGGGGAATTGTGGAGCTTGAACTCAGGGCCTGGACACTTCCTTGAGCTCTTTTTTTTTTGGGGGGGGGGGGGTCCAGTTGTGGGGCCTGAACTCTGAGCCTGGGCACTGTCCCTCAGCTCTTCAGCTCAAGGCTAGGGCTCTACCACGTGAACTACAGCACCACTTCTGGCTTTTTTCTTTTTTTTTAATGTGGTGCTGAGGTGCATACAAGGCAAGCACTCTACCACTGAGCCACCTTCCCAGCCCCTCCTTGAGCTCTTTTTGCTCAAGGCTAGTGCTCTACCACTTTGAGCCACTGCTCTACTTTTGGTTTTCTGGTGGTTAATTGGAGATAAGAGTTCCATAGACTTTCCTGCCTGGGCTAGCTTTGAACTGCAATCCTTAGATCTCAGCCTCCTGAATTGCTAGGGTTACAGGTATGAGCCACTAGTGCCTGCCAAGAAGTACCTTTTAAATTCACTAGCAGAGATTCAGAGCTTGGAGACAGCTTTGGTTCTATCAGGTGTACATGCCTGATTTCAGTAAACAGGATCCAAAGAGATGGCAGTTGCTAGGCTTTCTTGTTTTTGCTATAAACAAACCACTAGCCAGAAAAATTAATTGTATTCCCCACTGTATTTTTAGTTCTTACAACAAGAAGAAACACATTGGAATCATTTCAGGTTGCAAAATGAATAATGTGCTTGCTACTCAGAGTCCATCAAAACCTACAAGATTGGCAGGTTTGATTGTTTGGGTGAGAAGGCACAGAATCTGAGGAGGAGGGGTGAAAAAGTGCAGCAGTGGAGTGCAGTGGACATTGATGAGAGTGAACTATACAACTCGTGTGTGGAGAATGGGAATGGGAGAGAATGAGGGTAAGGTGACACTGTACAAAAGGAAATGCACTTATTACCTGGCTCACGTACATGTAACCCCTCTGCATATCACCTCTAAGAATAAAAGAAGCGCTGGTGGCTCACGCCAGTAATCCCAGCTGCTCAGAAAGCTGAGATCTGACCAGGGTTTGAAGCCAGCCTGGCAAACAAGTCTAAGAGACTCTTCCCTCCAACTAATCGGCAAAAAGCCAGAAATGGAAGTGTGGCTCAAGTGATAGAGCTCCTGCATGAGTGAAAAAGCCGAGCAAGAGTGTGAGGCTGTGAGTTCAAGCCTCAGTACCAGCACACACAAATAAGTATAGAACCTCAGCCCACTGCAGGCCTACTGATCTAGTTTGTGTTTTATCAGGGTCCCTAGGTGACTGGTATGCACAGGCATAAAGCGAGTTGCTGTGAAGGTTAGAGGTGTGGCAAGTGGTAGTAGTTAACTTGCTAGCTTCTGGCCCCTTGTGTTCAGGCTCTGTGATAGGTGGAGGTTGTGGGGTGCTTTAAGTTAGAAGTAAATGTGAATGTGTACTTGGCTGTTTCTGTTTTAAATTCTTTTGTTTTGTTTTACATTCTTTTCATGGCAGATGGGGTGGAAAGAGAAGATTACATTAGGAAAGGGAATATTTTTTTGAAGTGGTCAGCTAAGCCCAGTTGTAGTGGCTCGTGCCTATAATCCTAGCTACTGAAGAGACTAGGACCTGAGGATCAAGGCTCAAGGCCAGCAGGAAAGTCTTAAGCTCTTAATCTCCAGTTAAGTGGTAAGATGCTAAAAGTAGAGCTATAGTTCAAGTGGTAGAGCACTAGCACTAGCTCTCCCAGATGAGACAGCAAAGCCTTGAGTTCAAATCCCACTACCTGTGTACATACACATACACACTAGTGGGTCATCTAATTCTAGTTTTTGGCTCTGATCTCCTTTGGGTTGTTTGAGCTTCCTGCAATATTTATGGTTGTCAAGCCTCAAAGAATTGGAAGAAACACTTACTTTGTGATGGGGAGGGGAGTCATGGGACTTGAACTCAGGGCCTGGGTGCTGTCCTTGAGCTCTTTGCACTACCACTCTCAGCCACATCGCCACTTGCAGTTTTCTGGTGGTTTATTGGAGATAAGAGTGTCACAGACTTTCCTGCTTGGGCTGGCTTTGAACTGTGATCCTCAGATCTCACCCCCTGAGTACCTAGGATTCCAGGGGTGAGCTGCCAGCGCCCAACTTAATATATGCTTTTAAACAGTAACGTGTAAGGCTGCAAGAGGGCTCTGTTTCCAGAGACTAGAGGCATCATCTCAGGACCCCTGTGCGTGAATCATCTTGGTGTTAGAGTTCACACAGTTTTATGTGGGATTTTATTTTGTTCTTATACGCTATAAGTGAGCAGACAATCTGCTTGAGAATGGAGTGTGCGCCATCTGCCTTTCCATTGGATGTGAGTGGTGCTGAAGCTTGCACTGGTGTTGTGCTGCTCAGGTCAGAGCAGCTTGCCTTTCCTTCACCTCCTAACACCCTCCCACCCCCCAATCCCAAAGCTGCTGCTGCGCTTACACAAGGGCCCTGAAACCTTGCTGTTCTTACTGTATTTTGTGCTGTTTCTGAAGTGGTGTGTTCTGGTTGCTGCTTCTGTTACGGAGCTTGTACCTCATAGGAAGTCAGTAGGGTGGCCTCTGTGGCCAGGCTGCCCAGCTGCCTGCTCAGATCCTGGCCTCACCCTCCTGCCCCGTGCCCAGGCCCCGTCATCTCCCGTGGGGAGTGTCAGTGCTGCTAGGGGGCATTCGTCCTGGTGCGTGCTGTGCTTGCCTTAGTGAGCCTCGCGACGGAGCTGCTAGCCACTTGGGCTTCAGATTTAACACAGTCAGCTAAAACTTCTAAATGAAACGGAAGTCCAGATTCACTCCTCAGTCACACTCACCCCCTTTCCAGCATCCATGGTGCCCCGTGGCGCAGCGTAGCCATGGTTGCCTTGAAGAGCACTAGCAGGCAACAGCGCAGATGGCTCACTTTCAGCAGCTTTGGACAAAGTGTTTCCTGCTTCTAAGCAGTTTCATCTTACTCAGGGGTCTCCAGAGTACAGTCTGTTGTTCTCACTGACAAGCCCGGCATGGCCAGCGTATTTCCATTAAAGTGGGGGGTTCCTTCCCCACAGGTACTGTCCACAAGTACCCTCCCCAGAGCAACTCCAGCTGGAACGCACATTGTAGCACTGTGCGTTTTATGAAAGCATTCAGCTTTCCAAGACTACTGGGACAGGCTTAGGCCTTTTGTTCTCCTGAGATTTTTCTCCCAAAGCTAGGGAAGTGGCCTGTGATCAGTAGTAATGTCTTGTCAAAACACATTCCAGGACTGGGAATGTGACTTGCCTAGCATGCATGAAACCCTGGCTTTTATTCCTCAGTACCATATACACAGAAAAGGCTGGAAGTGGCACTGTGGCTCAAGTGAGCACAAAGAGCTCAGGGACAGCGCCCAGGCCCTGAGGTCAAGCCCTAGGACTGGCAAAAAAAAAATCTGAGGACTAATTAGTACCAGGAATTACTGTCCTAGTGTTCTTTAGTTCTAAACTTCCTTGTTTCGATCAGGAAAGAATCACATCCACAAGAAAACAGATGCCTTTAGCAGTGCAGCTTCATGTTGAAATGACTTTCCGGTTGGAAACGCCAGTGTGGTTCAATGGGGACCTCTGCCTGTGCCAGGACCCGAAGCCGGTGCCTCCTCTCCAGGCACGTGACCACGAGGGGCTCAGAGGCCGGCTCGAATTTGTTGGCAAACAGAGAAGGCGATTGGATGATCCAGGGCAGGTCTCCTGGCCCGTAGACACAGGTGTCTTGGACATAGTGGCCTGCAGAGAGAACACAGAATCTCAGCTGCCTTTGTTCCACCAGCTGTTCCCTCTGCAGAGAAGTGCTATATGCCCCTTCTGATGTCACTATAAGGCTCTGGGCTTCACAGTTCAGTTAAAAACCATCTCGCCATTGTTTTGATTAGGTCCTTTGTGCCAGAAATTCCTATAATGTTCTCTCCAGGTGAATCCTGTGTCAGATTCACTGACCTGGACACTGGGAGATGAGCTGGCACGTACCTGCTGCCTGGCAAAACAAGTCCCCCCTCATCTAACTCCCCTTGCTCAGACTTTTCCTTGGTCATGGGCAGTTCATCAGGGTGCTAGTTTTAATAAGTCATTGCTTCTGGCTTTATTGGTTTTCTGAGTGACTGTTGGATGTAGGTGTAAATAATTAAAATGGGGATTTGAATCCAGTGAGATTCCTTTGACCAACTCCAAAGCACTTTTTAGTGCCTCTCACTGCGCTTGGCCTGCTCCTCGCTCTCCGTTGTCAGTGCCTCTCACTGCGCTTGGCCTGCTCCTCGCTCTCCATTGTCAGCGCCTCTGGGGAGGGGCCGAGCTAATGGCTCCTTCCTGCACTGTCTCCACCGCAGCCCAATCATCAGAAGTCCTCTCTCTCACAACCTCCCTCAGGAAATACTTAAAGGAGAAGGAGAGCGCGGCAAGCAGAAGCTGAGACAATCCAGAGGAGCACTCCTCCAGAGGCCTATCTGTGTGAAGAGTCAGGGCTGGCACGTGGTCAAGTTGAGGGGTGGCAGCCGCTATCACGGGCGCTTTCCTAACTGACACGTTCAAGTAGAGACATCGTCACCTGTTAAGTCAGGAAAGTGAAGGTCGCAGCCTGGAGGCTCGGGCCCAATGGAAAGTAATGGCTGCACCGTGATTCTGTGTGACTGGGTGAATTTAGATCACGGGTACAGAGGGCGCGCTCAAGTTGTGTGAGACTGCTGGGGAGCAAGAGGACCCCTCGTCACTGACTAGAGAGCAGCAGCCGTCGCTGCGCAGCATGGTCTGGGGGCCGTGGCTACAGGAAGCGTGTCTCTGTCAGTCTCGCGTGCTAGGTGACAAATCAGAGCACAGGACTCACTTTCTTCAGTTGAGTTGGAATTGTAGGAGCAGGTAGAAAGAACCAGATCATAATGTGGTTTAAAAACTTTAGCTGGAGCCGGGCACTGGTGGCTCACGCCTGTAATCCTAGCTACTCAGGAGGCTGAGATCTGAGGATCGCGGTTCAAAGCCAGCCCAGGCAGGAAAGTCTGAGACTCTTTTTTTTTTTTTGGTCCAGTCGTGGGGCTTATACTCTGGGCCTGGGCGCTGTCCCTCAGCTCTTCAGCTCAAGGCGAGTGCTCTACCACTTGAGTCACAGCAGCACTCTGGCTTTTTTCTTATGTGGTGCTGAGGAATCGAACCCAGGGCCTCAGGCATGCAAGGCAAGCGCTCTACCACTGAGCCACCTTCCCAGCCCAGTCTGAGACTCTTATCTCCCAACTAACCACCAGAAAACCGGAAGTGGTGCTGTGGCTCAAGCCGTAGAGCACTCGCCTTGAGCTGAAGAACTCAGGGACAGCGCCCAGGCCAGGCCCAGAGCTCAAGCCCCATGACTGACAAAAAAAAACACTTCAGCTGGGCATATTGGTACACCTGAAATTCTGAACTCAGGAAGGATAGATAGAGAGTTCCAGGTCAACCAGGTCTACATAGCAAGACCCTGTCTCATAAAACCAAACCAAACAGACAACTTTGAGTTATAGTCACTTACTAATATGTTTATTAGCCCGTATATTTATAATTCCTACACTTTTCTGTGGGCATCTTATATCAAGTAAAGGGTTTTTTTAATCAAAATTGACACCCCTGCTAATTGATCATCTCAGATTAAATATAATTGTATATTGCTTCCACATAGATTTTGTAAAACATTCTAATGTTGGTTGTTTTGGTTTTGTTTTTACCTTTACATCCATCATGAACTATTCCTTCCTCTGTTCTCCACTTGACGGCTCGAACGTTTCCTTCCCAGCCAGCATCTCGTGTAGCCCCGGGAGCATCTGAGGGGACACAAAACCAGCACGCACCAGGAGTTCAGTTTTGGTTGTTCAGTAAAAGTTCCATTCCCTGAGCGAAGGCCACCGCAGAAAGATGGTGTTCCACACCTGTGCTGGAGCTGGAGCTGAGCGGCAGGGTGCCAGCCTCCATCCAGGACCTAGATTGCCTTCTCCACCCATTCCCCATCCCTTGTAGTTTACGGGTGTTTGCAAAGTGCCCCTTGGAGTCATGTTGGGTTGTTCGGATTGTTTTGTTGGTAACAGCCCTCTGAGGTGACCTGCAGAAAGGACTTGCGCTGGGTGGGAGGGGCATGCACAGGTCCTAGCCAGGTGTGTTGGATGTCCCGCATGCAGCTGTGCTCCTGGAGAGCCCTTTAGTCTTTCCAAGGAAGAGACACCTATGTCCACTGAGAGGAGAGGACACAGGATTTCCCTCTGCCTCCAAGAGCCTTGTGAAGTGTCAGGGCCTTTGCACAAACACATCACTGGTGTGGGCATGTCTCCTTATTATAGGGCCCTCATGGTCATGCCTGGCAGTAGTGGCTGCCCAGTGGTATTTACCAAATGGGTGAAAACAGGAAGAATTCCCAAAGACATGGCCAGGATTTTCAAAGGCTCTATCTGAGGAGAAGCAAAAAATGCCAGTACTTCTGTAGAGGAGACTAAAGCAGCCAGGTGGGGTGGGGATGTGACTGTCCTAAAGCCAAAGACCCACCTGCACTCCCCAGGAAAAGATCAAGCAAGAGAATTTTAACAAAGCCTTCAGAAAACAGCTGAATAGAAAAAAAAATCTCCATTAAGAATAACTCCCTCCACTAAAACGGGTCTGCTAAAATCTCGAAAAGCAAGCATTTTTATAAAACACTTTCCCTAGGAATGTGTGAACTTCTCCCCAGCCAGTCCACGCGGATTAGTTCAGGGCCTACATTTCAACGTCTGTACTTTGCTGTTTATGTTTTGATCAGATATTTTTGGGGCTTATACCAAGCTTTACATTTATTTTACAGCTAATACAAGGAGGCAGTTGGAGAAATATTGAACCAGAACCCTTGGTAGAAAGCAATGAAGGAAATGAGGGAAGAAGTCACCTTGAAAAGAATAATGCTAGGAAAGCCACATGACAGAGAAAAACAAATTATGTTTTCATCAATAGTACAAAATAATTTTGTTCATTCCAGCATAAGTTAGCATAAGTTAGCCTTCAGTGTCCAGAGATATGGGACCCAATGCACATGAAGGCCAGGAAGGAACTTTTCTTATTTTGGATACAGCTATACCACTATTATGGTATATTTTATAGATTATGGAATACTTTCTTAGAAACAATGTTACAGGTCAGATGTCCACAATTTTTGAATAATTAAGGATAAAAATTAAAGCCAAATGAAGCAAACAAAAAAATAAAGTCCCCACTTGACTGCAGGTGGCTCATACTTGTAATCCTGTAACTCAGGAGGCTAAGATCTGAGGAAAGGTTCAAAGCCAGCCTGGGCAGACAGGCCCAGGTTACTTGTGATTCTAGCTACCCAGGAGGCTGACATCTGGGGATCCAAGTTCCAATCCAGCCTGTGAAGATTACCAATTATACAGCAAAAGGCCAGAAGTATACTTAAGTATACTTAAGCCTGTAGCTTAAGTGGTAGAGTGCCAGCCTTGAGCAAAATAGCTAAACAAGAGCTTGGGGACCTGAGTTCAAGCCCCAGTAAGGGCACAAGAACAGGCACAAGACAAGTGGGAGAGGGGGGAAAGGAGGGGAGGATAGAAGCCCTGCCCCTGGCCTCTGCTCTGGACAGACATCTGTGTGGTCAGTCTTCTTACCTTTGAGTCGGCTCAGGGTCACCCAGTAATGCTGCTCTGGGCTGTGGCTGTCTCTGGCCCACTGCAGCATGTCTTTTGCATGGCTGTCGGTCAGTATGAACTCCACAAACTTCCTCGTAAGCAAGTAGTAGGCACTTCCAAAGTAAATGGTTACGTTGTGTGGTGGCTTGCGCTCGAATCCTTCATTTGGAGATACATGGATACTCCCTTCCGTGCGGGACTCTGGAAGCCCTGGGCCCGGCGGGGGTGGGGGGCGCGCTGTTTGGGCCACTCTGGGAGTGATGTTTTTATCTTTCCACTTGCTTCTGAGGTAGTGGATGATTTCTCTGTTGGTTTTGATGGGGAAATCCTGGTCACAAAGATTGATGACATATCTCCATCGCAGTTTGGATTGGACCAGATCTTTCATACAGTTAATATCCGCCTGCAGTCTCGCCAGGTTGCTGTAAGCCGCCTTTTGTGTCTGTGATGGAATAAAGATGTTTTCGAAGCAGTTGGCTAGGGTCTGCACCATCCTCGTGTACTTCCTTGGGGCCTTTTCGTGCACATGAATACAGTAAACATTTTGTGGTGCGTAGATAGCCCTGAGGAGCTGCACAAACATGGCCGGCTCCTCGTGAAAGGCGATGATGTAGGCCAGCGAGAAGTTCCCCTCCTCTGCAGAGAGAGGTGTGGTGATGAAGTGCAGCCCCCGGGAAACCTGGGAGCAGTTCCCCGCTTTGTGTACATACCCAAGGAGGTGGGATGTGGGTGGACTTTTACAGAATTTGGCAATCTGGGGGGCTGCTTTCTTCCCTTCAAATAAAGCTGAGCACAGTTCATCTGGATAAAAGCCGCATTCCACGGCGGCCGGGTGGGTGAGCTCTGCCTCAGCAGCCTCCGGAGCAGAGCTCCTTAAATACAGGAAGATGGAGATGCAGACAGCCACACACACGAGAAGCCCGGGCTTTGTGGCTCGAAGCTGGCCCATGCCTGGCGCTCCAAGTGCATTCTTTTTCTTTCTTTCTTTTTTTTTTTTTTTTGTCGGTCCTGGGGCTTGAACTCTGGGCCTGAGCACTGTCCCTCAGCAATTCAGCTCAAGACGAGCACTCTACCATTTGAGCTACAGCGCCACTTCCATTTTTTTCTGGTGGTTAATTGGAGATAGGAGTCTCACAGTCTTTCCTGCCCGGGCTGGCTTTGAACCGCGGTCCTCAAATCTCAGCCTCCTGAGTAGCTAGGATTACAGGCGTGAGCCACCAGCGCCTGGTTCCCAGTGCATTCTTATGGCCATAGTTTGGGTGTTTTCCTCTGTGCTTCCTAGAACCAGAGACAGCGCTGGTGAGTTTCCTTACCCTTCCCAGCTTTACCGCAGCTACCAGTCCATGCGTCCGTCAAGTGGAGAGTTTGACCAGATTTCTCTTTTGAGATGGGGTTTTGTTCTCCTGTCCAAGTTGACCTCAAACTCCTGTCCTCCAGAGATCCCCCTGCCCTAGCTGCCTCCAGAGCTGTGACTAGAGGTGGTACTCCCACATCCAGCTATGTGCATGTTTATATAAATACCAACACCACAATCAGGTGAGCATTTTCTTCACCCCTGAGAGTTGCTTTGTGCCTCTTTTAGTGAAGCCCTCCTGCCCCCATCTCTGGACCTCCCCAGATTCCTGTGCACATTGTGTCATGTATACAGCGTGCACGTCTCTCCTGGCTTTCACCGGTAACACTGACTCTGAACTCATCCTTATGGTTGCATTACATTTATCATCAGTACTGGGATTTGAACTCAGAGTGCTGAGCTTACTAGGAAGACGCTCTCCCGCTTGAGTCTCATTTCCAGCCCTTTTTTGGTGGTGGGTGGGGGGCTGGAAGTGAAATCTAAGGCCCTCACACGCCAGGCCAGTGCTGCGCCGCTGAGCTACATCCTTATGCACTCAGGCCCAGTTTTCGTATTCATTCAGCTGCTTGTGGACATTTCAGTATTTCTAGGTTTTGAACATTGCAATTATACAGTGAGCATTGAGTGCGAGTCTTTGTGTGGCAGAAAGATATGTCTGTTTCTTTGGGTGAATGTCAGGTAGTAAAGTGGCTGGCTCCATATGTCTGTTTCCACCCGGGCACCGGTGGCTCATGCCTGTCATCCTAGCTACTCAGGAGGCTGAGATCTGAGGATTGCGGTTCTAAGCCAGCCTGGGCAGGAAAGTCCATGAGACTCCTATCTCCAATAAACCACCAGAAAACCGGAAGTGGTGCTGTGGCTCAAGTGGTGGAGCGCTGGCCTTGAGCTGAAGAGCTGAGGGACAGCGCCCAGGCCCAGAGTTCAAGCCCCACGACCAACCAAAAAAAAAAAAGAAACTGTGTTTCCCAAAGTGCTTGCAGCAGCAGACAGCTGTGTCAGCACTGGGTGTGGTTGGCTGTTGCCAGGATAACCCTCTAATCTGAGCGGTGGTTCCCCAAGAATGATAGGTGTGGAGCCTGGGGTGTATGCAGTGCCTGCTCCCATCTTCCAGTAACGGAAATGACATGAAGTGTTGTGTGGCCATCGCAGATACAAGCCTGCTGGCACGAGAGCATGAATTGTTTCTAGGGAGGAGCTGCTCAATTGCAGACAAGATAGGGTCATCTCCTCATCACTGGAGGCTAGCATGGGGCCTGCCCCGACCTCCAGTGGGCTCCTCGGTGGACATGGCAGAAGGGCAGTGGTGGTATGTGTGGGTGCCACCTTCCTTTTGGCCTGGTCATTGTCCTTGAGCTCAGGAAAGAGGTGGGGCTGCGCCTCCGTGACTGGCACCTCGGCTTCCGTAAAAAGTAAAAAGCCTGTTGCCTTTTTTTTCTTTTGATCAGTTGTGGAGCTTGAACTCGCCTGTGCGCTGTCCCTGATACCTTTTGCTTAAGGCTAGCGCTCTACCGCTTTGAGCCATAGTCCTACTTCCAGTTTTTGAGTGGTTACTTGGAGATAAGAGTCTCACTGGGACTTTTCTGCCTGGTCTGGCTCCCAGCTTCGCCCCTCAGATCTCAGGCCTGAGCCACCGGCGCCTGGCGAGCCTGTTGTCTTGACTGGTGTTTCCCTCAGATGTGACAGCACTTTCTTGTCTCTCCTGTCACCATTACAAATGTTATTTGGAGAAAGTATTCCAAGTTATCCTTGGGTTCTTAAGTTCTGACACAATAAAAACTGGGTGCTGGTGGCTCACACCACGGAGTGGCACTGTGGCCCTAGAGGTAGAATGTTAGCCCTGAGCAAAAGGAGGTTGGGGACAGCCCCCAGGCCCGGAGTTCAAGCCTCGGGACCAGCAAAAAAAAAAACAGAAAACCCCAAAACTAATTATATGTTGGTTGTGTTTTTTATGGAACTGGGATAGAACTCAGGGCTCGTGCTTGCTAGGCGGTGCTCTACCACATGAGCCTTGCCTCCAGCCCCTTTTTCCAGGTAGGGTCTCCGTTTATGCCCAGCGTGGGCTGTGGTTCTAGTTCTGATGGTTGGGATGCCAGGCACGCACCACTGTACTGTGTCATTTTGCTGCCCCTGTAGCGGGGTGACAGCACTGGAAACACAGTTTCCAGTTGAGGGAAACACAGGCTTGTGAGCTTTTGTCTCTGGGCTGGCCTCAAACCACGCAGTGCCCAGGCTCTACCTCCCAGATAGCTAGGAGTAGGCTTGAGCGCTGTGGCTGGCCTGGATTTTCTAATGTTGCCTTTACCTTTATTGTAATTTCTTTTTACCCAACAGGCTTAGGGAATGAGAGGTAGCTGCTCCCCAAATGTCAAGGGGTGGGGTATTTTGTGATGATTCAGTAAATGTTCCTTATGCCAAACGTCAAACCTCACAGCCTACTTGGAAAGACCTGTTACGAAATTCTAGTACTTGCCTGCACAAACCTAACACTCCCGCTTATAGTTTGCATATTTTCTATCTCATCTCTAAACTAAGCAAATCCACCTTAGAAACAGAACTTGCCCGGTAAGGAGACTGTTTAAATGCAGTAGGGGTCGGCTCTCCCCGGAGGTGGGGGGGGGGGGGGGGGGATGGGGTTTTATTCCCTCCTCCTGGTTCCCTTCCTGCTGCAGAGGTCGTGCGACCCTGCGTGTGCAGGTGACCCACATAGACCTGGCGTAGACCCCACCCCGGGCGGCATTCTCAGCCGTTTCCATAACGCACAGAGGAGCCTCGTCTGGGTGGCCTGTCAGCTTGTCACAGCCCCCACAGTGGCCACTACATCTGTTCCAGGCTCACTTTGAATTTGGGATTCACGTCTGCATGGCCTCCACCAATCTGTCTTAACTTGCTGCTTCAGCCACTTTGGACTGCTGGGGGGGGGGGGGGGGCGGGGACGGTTCTGTCCTGTGATTGCAATGTTTTTAGCCATAATGAAGGTGTATTTAGTAAACGTGAATTCCCCCCACCCCCCCACCCCCGTGGGGAATATACATTCCTTAAAAGCAGTCCCAGCCTGGGCTGGGAATGTGGTTGAGTGCTGGCCTAGCATGCATGAAGCCCTGGGTTCCGTTCCTCAGTACCACAGACACAGAAAAAGGAGGAAGTGGCACGGAGGCTCATGTGTTAACGAGCGCTAGCCTGGAGCAAAAGAATCTCAGGGACAGCCCAGGTCCTAAGTTCAAGCCCTAGGACAGGCAAAAAAACAAAAACAGCCCTGCCCAGTGCTGGCGGCTCACATCTGTGCTGCTCGCTATGCAAAGGCTGAGAACTGAGGATTACAGTTCGAAGCCAGTCTCAATAGGAAAGTTCATGAGACTTCTCTCCAATTAATCACATCAATACACACACACACACACACACACACACACACACACACACACACACACACACACACACACACACACACACACACACACACACACACACACACACACACACACACACACACACACACACACCAAGGCCATGCTTTAAATGGAATGATCGGTGGTTCTGCCTTGGTGAGAATACTCCATTCGCCTTTGTTTAGGCCAGACTCGGAGCATGTGGTGAGGGAAAGGTTCCCGCATGCCTGCATTCCAAGTCTGCCTGATGTTCAGGCTTCCTATTCTAGTGCCACAGAGGGACCAAGAAAGACAGGCATGGTCGTGCACCCTGTAGTCAGGGGCCTGGCCCTCCTGCCTCAGCCTCCCAGCACTGGAGAGCCTGCCATTCAGTCACAGCAGGTAACAGGGCACTTACCACCAGAGCTGCTGAACTGCTGAGCTGCCGCTGTGCGCACGCACGGGGTGAGAGGCTCTGCAGGTGCCGGCCACTGCCCTGCCGCTCTCCTGCTCTGCCCTCCTGCTCGTGGAGTTGCCTGGCAGGCCACGCTGCCTCTGCCTCCCCCGGGGCACCGGGCGATGCTGCCGTGGCTTCTCTGAGCTTCTTCAGAGCTGGGTAAACAAAGCACTGCACCAGGACAGCCGGCCCTGGGGACAGCCCACAGCCACCCTCGGGGGTCTGAGACTGCGGGCTGCGCTGAGCGCAGCTTTCCTGCGTGGTAAAGTCTACTCTAGTCACGTGTATGTGTTCCTAAGGAGAGAGGGAAGAGCTGGCGATTCCCGCTGACTAGAGAGCCTGAGCCACACTACCCCAGAGCTCACGTGTACATGGCGGGGGGCCACATGGTGGCCATGGTGGGGCGTATGGGTACCCACCCCTCCTCAGGCTTTGTGAGCAAAGCCAGGGCTGGAAGCCCCGTAGCATTGTGCTGGCGCTGGCCCTTGACCCGCCAGCAGTTATGGAGGGCCTGTGCGCAGAACCCGGGCCACCACCAGGCGGAGGAGCCCGAAGGCAGACAGGTCTACGTTCACAGCCATGTCACGCCCTCTGCAGGGGGCAGACAGGTATGTGACAGAACAGCTGTGCCACACAGGTGGCGCTTGGGTCAGACACCAACAGCAGCTGTTCCTTACAGGTGCCACTTGTAAGGAAACCCCAAGAGCCCTGTCCCATTGGCTGTGAACAACGTAGGTGTAGCACACGCACGCCCGTGTCCACCACAGTTCCCTCTT